ATTCTATTCCTTGACTTGCTTTCGCCAGCCCTTATAATAATGTCAACAAGATCATAATATATTTCAATGATAAATTCAATATTAATACTGCCTGGTTACAATTCATTTAACATACTGCCATCATGTCTTTATTGGCTGGACTAATAGGTAATACAGCGAGGTATATATGTAATCATAGAGAGACTTCCTTTCATCATTGCCAATTTAGTTAAGAAAGACTTTAAATATCAATTTTTAGATTGTTTGGGTAGATGGAAAATAAATTGCATAATAACTATTATACTGCATAAGAATATCTAAATTACGATGAAATTGGCCATTATCAACACGAATGACGGTATTTTATACAATCTTCAATCTTCTGTCTCTACCTTTGTCAATTTAACAGCAAATACAGCACACCTGCGCTAATCATGTTAATTACAAGGTGACGACGACCAGAAACGAGAATAGTGATTGGTTTAAAAAATAAATTTTTGTTATGGTTATCGCATAATGGAATGGATAAAAACTATGCCTGTTTTGTCTGCTATATCTATGAATTGATTCACTAAATCATTGCTATATGATGTTACTATTAGAATGATTAAGAGTTTGATGTGGAAAATAAAATATTATGCAGTATAATCATGGATATGCCGTGATTAATGAAATAATGTTGATCGCTATCCAGCATAGATAATTATTCAAAGACAGAAAAATATTATTAAGTGGGAGTAAAATGGCTAGCCATCTATTATAATAGACATATTTACTGTTCGCTACTGTATGGAAAGAAATTTTGTCTTGAATTCTGTGCAATAATAGTAATAGCCTGCAGAATTCAAAAGAAATTAAAGGACACTTAGAGGATGTTGTTTTCAGGCAATCTTACCCTTATGAGCAATATTGTAATAATAGCTAAAATAGTTAGATGAGCAAATAGCATATCAATTTCCAATTATATTATCGATACAGTATTAAAAAGTTAATAAAATAGATATTTATCGTCCCATCCCTCGACAAGGAAATAAAGCATCGATTCTCAATCGGCTTTAATTCATCTGCATTTAAAAATATACCATTATTTATTTAATTAATATTCCTTCCATTTCAGGAATTGGAAAAACTACCGTTTTATGAATACAGTGTTTGTTCTCATTTATTTAAATCGAAGCAAAGAATGCAGCGTGAACTAAATATATTTCTATAGCTAGTTAAACATGAATAAGGAGATGAAGAAATTAAAGAAATGTTATCAATTGATTAAAGAAAGATCGAAATTTTTAGCGTCAACTAGCCAATATCAGCAAACTATTTTTTGCAGAATTATCTGCTAGACAAAGCTTTAATTAAATAATAGTGACTTGATAGAAAAGAAATAATATCAGTTTGAATGTTACACTTATAATCATAATGATAGCTAATCAGTAACTTAAAATTAAATTTAATAGTAGACATAGACTACGATTCTGTTGTGATTAACGTCGATCTTATGATTTGATTAAGGTATTTTGGTAATGTAGCTATCACAACATTCTTAATATGAGTAGTTTGTCTCGACTATGTTGTCATCAAGATTAAAGCTTGGGCATAGTCCAAAACATTATATTGTGAGAACTGTTGCTACATTATACTTAATCCCTTCCAGCAGCATTGAATCTTAAAAATTCCTGACTTGTCAAACTTAACAATTGATAGTTTAATTATTCAATACTACCATGGTCTTTAATACGATAATAATGCTGATCAGCATAATTACCAGCAACCTTCAACAATAATACTCGTATATCTATAGTCCATCGATACCCATCCTATTACGTTTTAACTATAGAATACGTAGGTTATGTAATCAAGTAATTTATTGTTTTCAAACATGTGCAAATCAATAATAGTCATTTTATATTGAAATTATCATTAAGTGTCTACTTTTACATCAATAAAATTGATTAGTATAGTAGTAACGCTACCATTTCGGATCCAATGTGTACAGCAGATATCTACAGGGCACATCTATAAGGCACGCTGGAGCTAATGCTGATATGTTGATCTCGATTGATTATTTACTGTACTATGATTTTTTTGAAATGGGTTGCAAATAGTACTATATCTTTCCCCTATGAATGTGCTTAATTATCTGTAGAGTATACTTCGACTTAGCATCAATTTTAGGATGTTTACGCGGGATGGAGTAAAGTCTTCATAAATATGAAAGAGAGCAGTAATGAATGTTAATTATCTATTCTTTTTTATTAATTATTAATGATATTGATACATTCAATACGTTGCTGTAATGAATTCTATAATACTATTACTGATAAATTGGATTTTCTATATGCGAATACTAGTAATGAATATCCGTTAAAAATCCTTTTCTTTATGCCAATAACTACTAAGTAGAAAACTTTATCGCTTGTTCTGTATACGACTAATAACAGAATATCAACAATGGTATTTCTACGTCCATCAATTTCTCGATATTATTTACATTAAGTGATAATATACTCTCTTTTTATACTTTGTATAACGAGAGTATTAGCTCATTTTACTTTTCAATATCTCTGCACGTACATCCAGTATTGCTCTTCCTCTCTGCTAGGATAATCAATATAGATGGAATGAATTAACTCGCTGTTGTATACAATCAAATTTGAAGTAATAATGTGTTGGGTATCCTCTCTGTCCTAGTACCATTCTATTCCTTAATTATATCATTAATTAGCATGTGATATTAAATAAGACAAGCTCTCTTACGTCTTGAGTTGTTGTTGTAGCCGTACCCATTCAAGACAGCTAACTCTGGTCTATAATGAACATTGATGATCTTGTTAAAGCTAACAATTGAACTAAAACAACATCGCTTTGATTTCAACTATCCTTGATACATGAGTGAGAAAGTATTTGAAAGAGAGCCCCAATTTTTATATACGGAAGAATGATTTCCCGGTACAAGTATGCGATACTGCGAGTATCGGAAATGCGACCATTGCCGACAACGGCCGTAGGCACTATCCTACTAAGGATATGAAAAGGCAGTGAGAATGCCCGGTTATGGATGCTATGTATTCTTTAGGACAAATATATGCTATATGTTGTATGGTAGGCAGCTAAATTTCTAGATAGTCATCACAGCAGATTGCATAGATGCTGGTAAACTACTTTTCGATAGATAGATAGATATAGTATATACTGTATATCTATATATGTTATACTAGAGCTATAGATTAACTAAATGCTATCGAAAATGATATAGCCTAAGTAGTGGACTACTAAGTGAAAATCACGGTTGCTAAGTATCTTAATATTCGTTACAATTTTCTTATTCATTTCTAATATTGTCGAAAGATGCAAAATTTCCTCTAGGCTTAGCTAGAATCAATCAATATCTATAATTGATGGAGATTCGACGGCCATGACACCGCTGTAGTTAATGTATCATACATGATACAATCTATAAGGGTACAGTATGGATTTACCAATCACCAGTTAGGACTGGCCTAGAAGGATTACTTTGGCCCTTTGCTAGCGAATAAGGGAAGTGTGGTATTCTCGCTGTCTCTTCACAAATCTCTGGTATTATCCTAGTCAATGACACTGTTGTATTGTACACAATACAGTCGGTACCCTCTTGCAGTGCCAAATGACTCCGTTACTACCGTCAAGCTTGAACATTTTACGCTGGTATTTCTTCATCACTTGGAAGTACTAGCATTTGATTTCATTTTATCCTTGATCATCGCTTTGGAAAGTATCGTATCAACGTGGCAGAGGAAGCATTTCTTGCTCTTGTACAGGACGATATCAAGAGATTTGTCGAGCAGAGTCGGTAAGCTACTTTAATTTTCATCGCAAACGGATAGTCGCAATGCAAAGCACGCTTCTCATGCCAGCCAATCGATTCATTTTCCAACATCTCTTGAGATATTCTGCTTGATTTCAATTCAAGCAAGCTTTACTTATATGAGAGAGTTAAAAGCAATCATTAGTGATGGTGTAGCAGTGTTCATGATTGGCATTGACTATGCAAATATCCTATACGTCTACGTATAGGATTGTAAATGATTAAAAGACAACCAGTCGTTGACTCAAAGAGTAAGCAATAGTAGCAAGTACTCCACGTTGCTTACTTTACGTATGTAAACAATCTTCATCAAAATGGAGGGAGTAGAAGAAAGGCTGACGAGGGCCACGATGTATAACGGTGAATATGTACACTACGCCATTCAATCAGTACATTATCGATTACGTCGTTAAGAATGGCCTCCAGTGGTGATGATAATGGATTAATCTTTTAATGTAGTTACAGTAGGCCATGTACTGTAGACCCTGAGTAATGTTAAGTGGTAGATCAGGTTGAATATTGCTGGCAATGCAGTAAAGTTTTTAGGACTTTTTTGTGCCCAGTCACAGTCGGTATTTCGCAGCTTAAAACTGATTTACTACTGTATATTTCATACCGATTGTGCAAGTAGCCTGTAAAATAGTGATGCTGCTGCGTTCAATAGTTTACAATGTATCAGCCTGAATACTACTAATAACATAAGTTTAGAACTTCTTCGTACTACTGTAGGTTGCAATCGGTATTGCATAGTTTAAACTGATTTACTACTTGTATTTCATACTGATTGTGCAAGTAATCCATAAAATAAATATACTGCTTCGATAAGTCACACCAAATCGTCGTTTGCAGTACTTTGTACTGCGTTCTGTATGAGTAGACCTACAGTCATTGTCATACTGAACGCATTTAAATTAATAGGGCTTCTGCATATTGCTATTTAGAATCGAATGAGGCTAGATGATAAATTAACGAGTATCATAGATCGATCTAATGTATTCCTTGTAACTTCTTAAGGACTTCCAATGCTGTATCAGTTCTACTTTTCCCTCCTGTACGATCTCGATATCGCTATCTTATTCATCAAACTGCAGCGCAATTCCCTCCAGTTCAAAGTCAATCAGTAGGAAAAGACATCAACCGACGAACCGCTCTTTTCTTCAACACTCCCATCACCCAATCCATGGCAGAATCAAGGTAACATTATCGGATGTAGCATATTAAGCAATTTATGGCATCGTAGTTAAAAACAGAATGGTGTGCGGTATCATTTTATAGGATAATATACATAGTCGATGATCGATGCAGATACTCGCATCATACATTATCTATTAATTCCGCAAATGGGGGTTAGATTGCTGACATTGAAGAATAGGTTAACATCAAGCTAGATACGATTAAAAAGCATCGCAACACTATATTTGTACAATTCTGGCTTGAAACGATCGGTAGTCATCTCGAGTTGAACCACAGTCTCTTCGTCTACTCCACTATACAGCCGATAATATAATAGTGACTTCATGTTTATATAGGTGTATGGATAATTCTAATATACGTGTATAATCTGTCGACAGCTCCTCAATATCTGAAAATGTAAATACACCCGAAGCCAAAGAAGAATCACGATCATCAGAAAATGATAAATCAAATGATCGAAAAAGGTATACTACACATGCTAGAGATGCGTTTAAATACAGTAAAGCTTATTTACCTACTCATGCATAACCATGTTCTTTAAATTACTCAATTTTAAAATACGATAGTAATCAAAAGCGGCCAACAGCCGAGATTTATGTGCCACGACAAAGAAGGGAAGCTGATATCGGGAAGGAGAAAAAATCAAAATCTGGTAAAAAATCGAAAAAAAAAAATAAAATGAAGCCGATAGAAACTGGACCACCTAAGAAGGCTGTTCCCGTCGAAAATGCAAATGCTACTGCTGGTTCTGATTCTATTCTCCCAGATTCGATCTCAAATTCTACAGTAATTACAGAGAAGGAAAATGCCTTAACAATGAAGCCGATCAATGAACCTGGTGGTGATGTAATACTGAAGGAATCCTCCAAGAAAGGAAATGATGACATTGCCAATGAAATAAATAATTTAAGCATAAATCAAAACACTTCTAGCCAAGACGCTAGCACAACGGTACAAGAAAGAAGCACTCAGGCGGTCGAGGTGGAGTCTCCTACTAATAGTGCAGAGTCGGCTCAAGCGATATTTGAAAATCATGAAAGTTCGGAAGAAGAATGGGAAAAGTGTTTTGATGAAAGCGGAGAGTGCTTAGATGCTAAGCTAATGAAAGAAGTAGCGTTTTATATAACTTTTCATTCCGCAATGAATATGAGTATATACTAGATGTTATTGTTTACTTAGTAAAGCTTGTCATGATTTAAGCTTATATATTCTAATTGTAAAGCTGCGAAATGTTGTGCCATCCACCAACAAGATGCAATTAAAGCAAGCCGTAAATGATTACAGTAACTACGATATCAAGGATGGTTAGCAATCTATTATTCTTAATCATTCTAAATTAAATTTACGGATAGACACTTACTAACAGTTTCATAACAATCGCAGTGCAAGCACTTCTAAATTACACTAATTTCAAATATATTATATTTTTTAACAATTAACCATTCTTGTGTTAGAATACAGCCATGTCTTGGAGATGTACGATTTCTCAGAAGCGTTGCAAACAAGTGACCTTAACGCAGCTTTAAATGGTACCGGGTAATGCTGATTTTCGTCTGCCGTTATGCAGTATGACATGTATAGAACAAGATGTAAAGTAGTTATTTGTTGGTTTCAAATTTTACTTCCTACTTCTGGATTATACGATATTAGCAACGTTTTGCGATACCAGCCACCTAAACTGATACTGTAGTAGACATCCTATTAATTTAGCACTAGGCGGTAATCTCAGTTTTTCGCTACAGTATGCATAATACGTACAATTCTACCTTTTTCATTGGATCATTTGTATTAAGAACAGTATTTTTTAGTGCATGGCTCCAAGTTTATTACAATATTGTACAGTAGGAGATTGAATTGTGTACGACTGTCTACTGAAAATACTCTAATATTGCAAAGTTTATAGCGGATAGTGAAGTGATACTAACATCACCTATCTTGAACATTTCGCCGCAGCTGCAAGGACTTTGTTATAAGATGGACTGATGATACCCATGCTTTGATTGTGTTGTCTGATTCACATGCAGGTAATAATTTTATAGATATTAAGTAATAATCGTTATATTGTTGAAAATAACAACCTACTGCACTCAAGAAATCGTTTATAACACTGGACACTTGATATCTACTAGCATTAAGCATACTTACTCGATTCAATGACCCACTTATGAAATTACGCCCGTTTAATGAAGCTTCTTCAACCTCAAAGTCGAAAGCTGTAAATCTCGTAGGTACGCGGTCATCCATAAACTCCTATTGACTTCTCAAGGCAATAGTAATTCCAATGGTAATTTTACTGTAACTATTTTATAGAATCCTTCCAACCGTTTAAGGCAAGACCGGAAACATCAGCAGCAACTGCTCGTAGGATGGTTGCAACTCATCTAGGCGTCAGGCCAAATATCAGTCGAGAGCAAAGAAAAATGGAAATGCAAAAAGTAAAAGAAGCTAGAGGTAACTTCCAACATAACGTATCCCATTTTCTCCTACTTGCTACTATAATTGCAATCATCATGTCAGTTGAAATCATTTTATTAATACAGTATTGATGACATATTTTCAGAACAAAAAAAGAGGGAAGCCGAGCAGAAGCGAAGTATCTGGGATGGATAATTCTAATTATTTGTAAATAACTAAAATGTGAATATATTTTTTTTTAACTGTAAAGAAAGGATAGTAACAAAAAAATGAACTTATCAGTAGTTTAATCTTGTGCATTACAGTGGTTGATATGTTAGGGAATATTCATATCAGCATACAGGGTATTGCATGACAACATTTCAATCATGCAAGCCTGATATTTTTATTACTAAATACATACAATCAAGGTCGAGTAAAAATTGCACAAGCAGTCGTTCTAACTTGATGAATCGAGAATTAGAAATACTGTACAGGTAATCATTCTCGATTACAATAGACTGTCGACAGTATCTTATTAAGTTATACATTGTATGTACACATCTCGCTATGCGTTGTGTAAAACTTCCATCATGACTACGCTATTTCCACGTATTACCTAGATATTAATGAAAAGAATATATCCATACTTAATAATGAACTACATTACATGGTTTGTACAATATTTTGATATGTAAAATCACAGACTACAACCGTAGAAAAGTAGTATACAAGTTACAACAAGTCATTTATCTTACCACCATTCCAAGATGATTATTTTCTTTACTGGATACCTGCTCCACAGTATCATCTAGTACAATATTCATGAATGGATCGAAACCTCGCAAAGTACCAACTACCGTTCGATTACCATTTATCTTTACTGTATAAACGAATAGAGAGTATTATACCATAGTTAGATCAAGAAAATTGCAATTAATACGATGTTACCATTCTCTTAACATTGCTACAATAAGACAGTTCAAAAACGATATTGCTTGTCCTCTAGTAGTACATCAACTTGACTACAGTCTACAGTACTGCATGAACGATAATAGAATTGAATATCAGCAAGTTGATTTTAAGCCTTTTTGATAGTATACACTTCATCCATGCAAAAACCACTATCGTAAGTTATCACTCTAGTTATTGTAAAACTTACTGGAAAGTCGCTTCTCCATAAATCTGCAAGTTCAAAGAGAAAAGAAAGATATTAGACATTGCAAAGTGCATGACCAACCGGCAGTTAATGTGATGTCTGTAAGTGATAATTTGATAGCGAAGCTGCTCTCAGTTATTTGAATTGATAGTTCACCACGATGTAAAGTATGTTAATACATGCGATATAATTTACATCATTGATCAGCTTCGTTTTCATATTTGAAAAGATAGGAACAGTTTGACATTTCTACTATCATTAAGAGTGGAAAGCAGATGGAACCGTTCTCGAGTCCAAGTGGTGAATAGTGACATGGACTGCAAGACACGCTACAGTAGATGCATTGTCTGATGGAGTAACGATACACAACCTACACTAATAATATAGTGAATATCATCCATTACACTTGGATAACATCAACTCTACTGGTTGCAATGAAAAACAATTTGTTCTATGGCCTATTGATGATAGCATGTACAGCAATAGTAAAGGAATTTGTGTGTCTTTGATTGATTCACTATTATCATCAGGCCAAACTACCTGCAACAACGATGACGGTCCCAAAGCAGACAATGATCAATGCTAAAATGTCACTTTTTCTATGATGTATTACTTTGTAGCTAGTAAAGAAATGAATAACCAAGTCTACTAAGATCATTAAAATGTTCTTACTTTTTTAATTCTGGTGGATGAGCTTTACTCATGGTGATTTTCAATGGATTGCGGTCAGATAGATGAGCAAAGTCGAGCAAAATTCAGAAGGAAATGACGAATAAATGCTACAGTGGGTCGTTCGAATTGGAAGACGCGCTCACTGAAATGGCTGGGGATACTTTGCACTGTAGGCTGAGATGGACTGCGGTACAGTACAGAGTACAGTACTTTTTCTTTGTTACGATTTTATCAAGTACTGTACACTGTACGGTACTGTACTGTACTGTATGAATTCATCATTGAAAAATTACTGTACTGTATAGGCCTGAAGACGTTAGGCATGTCTGTGGACATGATCCAATGTGTATTCAGTACATTCCTACAGTATACTGTACTGTACTCGCTTGCAAGACATGGGCAATCAATAGACTATCAAGGTATTGAACCGAACCGAACCGAACCGAACCTTTCTCAAGGTCTAATTGGCATCGATACTTTGCAACAAGGACATCAACACTGAACAGATTGAGCTGATGGAGAACGAGTTTACGAGTTTATTATCCTGTCGTTTGGCTGACAGACAGATCATATATTGAAATCACTTTTCAATTTCGTATGCTCGCGATACTTCGTTGAGAAGTAAAAAATTCTACCTGTATGACTCAAACCGTGTATGCAGGGACTTGTAACAGAAATACGAATTTCTCTTACAAGTCTCTGGTCTAGATGACTTTCTGAAGGATCAAAATTGCCTCCAATGCGGGGACTCTGCTCCATAGAGTTAAAAAAAAACCTCTATGGATCTACCCTGGCAAACTGTACAGTACTGTACTGTACTGTATTTCAGGGACTACCTTTTACTCTTCAGCCATCTCTGGCTCTCTGTTCTTCTTCTCTACGTGCATGAGTCTGCATGAGCTTATGACTGACTATTTTATAGAGAATTGCTGCCAATTCTATTTTCATCGCTAATTTTGCCATTGAAAATAATTCTGTTGCAGTACAGTATGCCAGGGTAGATTCATAGAGGTTTTTTTAACTCTAGGACTACCTTTTACTTTTAGCCGTCTCTGCTCTTCTTCTCTATGTACATGAGTCTACATGAGTTTATGACTGACTATTTTATGAGAGAATTGCTGCCAATCCTGTTCTATTTTCATCTCTAATTTTGCCATTGAAAATAATTCCGCTGCAGTACTGTACAGTACACAGTGTACAGTACTTACTACGCTTAGTCTTTAGAGTGTAGTGTACTGTATGGCTGCTGCCGTCAGCTGACGCAGGCGTATATTGCACCCGTAGAAAATGGCGGTAATAAACCATGGATAAGGGAAATAAACTTCATGCTGTTAGCGAACCAAAATCCGATCCCCCAAAACATGAGAAAGATCAGCCATTAAGTAGGAAATTAGAGACCTCACGTAGATTACAAGGAAAGCCGGAAAAGAAGAAACCACAACTCGTTAAACGAAAATGTATGTCGATGTTGTTCTTCGTCAATTCAAATATTCAAATGGCCAAGGGAGGATTATCACAACTGTAGTCATGGCAATACTCTGCTATGTCGTTTTGCTTGTGGTCTACAAGGAGCTCACTCTTTTTAAGTTTATGAAAGCAGCCAGTGATAAGTGATTTGCGAGTAGAGATCGAATTGCACATTAGTAAGATGAGCGGAGCGGAGCTACTCTTAAATCGATTCTACTAATACAGTATAGTTAATCAACTGTTTACATTTCATGTGAATAATAAGGTTTTTGAATGAACCTTGATTTGCTGAGTACAAGCGAAGTTGATGATGATCAACAAGCGTGGCATCCACCATACTAGTACTAGCCAATTTGCAAAGTGTAGTAGTTCTATTGCCCTTGGTAGATATACACCATTACAAAAAATATCAGTAGTTTCGTTTATTTATTGATTTATTCTTTGCCTCAGTACATTTTGACTTATTTAGACACGAGTATTTTAGCTGTTTTAACAGTTGATACTGCACTCGAAAGCTCAATGAGCTGTGAGCTTACTTACGCTTACCAATAACGCTGTTCATATCCAGCTTGGAAAGTGTTACCAGTACCTCTTGTATGCATTCTTTGATGATCATCTTTCGCAACAAGTAAACCGTACTTTGCCTCAAAGCCTTTCGCTACTTGTTTATATCGTAATCAACAACATTTTTAATCTAAGAATTATTATACACGCATGCTTCCTGAATGATTAACTTTTGGATATGTAATAATCTTCTGTATAATACGTATACATTGCAGATCATAGAGTTACCCCTGATGTTATTCTGCTGTCAATTCTGATAAATATACGCCAATGGATTTCAAAATTTTAATATTAGCTGTAAAACTATCACTTATTCACATGATCGTTTAACTGTTTATCAGCACAATTATTTTTAGATATATTTAAAAAATATCCAAGTTCGATTAGTTAGAGCCTAATCAATCCAACCATCCTTGTAAACATGTTATATGTTTAGCAATGACTCGACATGACATGTTATTTTATTATTTCCTTTTACATAACAACAGCAGCCAATGAAGTCAAAAACGTTAAAGTCATATTACAAGCATCAACTGGTGGTGAAAAGCAGCTCAAGAGCTCTTTACATACCAAAGCAATAAAGTAAACCTCGATTATAACCATGACATACTATTATCTATAATTTATAAATATTGCAATATCATAACTCTACGTGAGATTACATGGTATTACCCTAGTAAGTTGTAGTTGATTAGCTGTAAATAACTACACTCTAAAAGATTATATGTCCTATCATGATTGTTTTTTAATTGGTATAGAACTAAGAAACATGTCAAATTCACTGCAAATATCGAACATCATGATCAAAAACTGCGAGCATTAAGAGTCAGGTAAGCAATAACCATTATATTATCAAGCCTGGATATGATGTGGTGTAATCTTATGTATTCAATTTTGCAGCAAAGTTATCATTTTTAATGCTATACTGTAAAATAATGTTATAGGGTTATCTGTAGGAAATTTGCTTATAAATGGATTCGATTTACTTATGGAAGAATTCGACCTAGCGTGGCAAGGTACATGTCCTTATCAATATACATACATTTATTTTGCAATTTCATCTAGAGATCCTACAGCTTAGATAATTTATCGTAGCTATGTATTTCACGATATCATTTGCCTTACCTTTAAAACAACCAACCATAGGAGTCATCACTACAATAAATTATTAGCTTCTTGTATGAAACAGTGGAAAGAATTTTGGTGGACGTCGTGTAAGGAATGGAAATTAATTGTTAGAGCTGATTATCATAGCAGGTTAACGAACAATCAATTTTTATATCCTTCACTTTAAAAATTTTACGGAAATGAACAAACTAGTTAGCAACCAAAGTATAAATGATAGTTATTAATATCTCATGTACACCTTTTAGATACCGACTCTGGAGTAGATGCATTAAATTGTGGAAATCCTATGTACTGTATAGAAAACAGAGGCAACAAAAGTATAAAGTGGCCGATCATTTTTGTAAGAGACAATAGTAGTAAATAAATAGCTTATATTCCACAAGCTACAGTACAAAATAAAGTATAGTAAAGATTTATTGCAATAACACTGATGATTATCCGCCGCTCTAGATGGAAGAAGGATCATGACCGTAATGCTAATAAATTGGAAGCAGTACATTCATTGTAGAAATAGCAAAAAATTAATTAACGAATCAGCTATAAATTTAGCGCATCATCATTTGACAAGGTACAAAACATGAATATTAGTAGTTCCTGTTTCAATGACTACATTTTACAGATTGACAACTACTTCTTGGATTAAATTGTATTTAAGATCACAATGTAATATTTATGCTACATATTAAATAAAAGGGTAATACTGTTTGTGATTCATTAATAGAATTGATTACCTAAACTAAATTATAAGCTATTATAGTAACAATGTTTATACTAGATGCTGATTGATGTCTAATGTAATATAGACGTTACTGGAAAAATTGGTGTGCAACGTATAAAACTACTGTAAGTAATTACCATTTAAATCTAATCGCCTTGCACCACTGGGCAGAAGTTCTCTTGAAAAGAGTAAGTTCCTCAATATTCGATCCCTCACTCTAATCGATTTTTTTACAACTTTATAAAAATGTTATAATTCCACTTGTATTTTACCAAGTACAGTGTATGTCAATGCTAACTTTTGATCATATTTTTCCCCTTTCATTTAACATTTCGTCTTATCAAGAAATGGTTGCTATGGAAAAACAAACTGACTTTAGTACTGCAGACTAAAATCAAGTTACAATATGCTAGAAGCTATCGCAATGGGTACTTAGTAAGACGATGCTTTCATTACTGGATTCAGTACCTGAAAGAAAGAAGAAGAAAAGAGCGCTTAAAACGTTCGTAATTAGATATCATCAACAGTTTATTAACTATATTATTTTTGTGAATCTCTCTCGAACTTTTTACAAAATTGTTTCATTAGTACTCTCCGACAGTCTATACTGTGAGCAACTTTTAAGGAAATCTATAAAGATATGGTATTCCAGATTGCATCGTCGCCTTGATATTAAAAGTAGATTTGATAGAATTAGCGCAATTGGATGTACTATCCTTAAAAGGCGATTCTTTATCCTTTGGAAATTGTGTACGTTTCACCTTGACATTTTGTAATCGATTGTACCTTTCTAAATCAAAAAGCAGATAGCTGATCAACGAACTGAGATTTCAGTCTTGTGAATTTAATACTGCAACCTTTACGCTACAATTTCATAGATATTGCCCGGAAACATAGAAAATGTGACCTGCATAGCAAGGCTTGGACTCATTATGAAATTCATATTACGGTATGTAGTACTGACGTTTGCCTACAGTTAATGCAACCTTAAATTACTAATTTCAAATTAAAATTTTCAGAAACTTACTTTCGATGCCTTGAGATTGTATGCCGTAAAGAAACGCCTACATCGCTATCGGACTATAGAAGCTGATGATTTTCAAGCATTTAAGGTTGGTAAATAATGGCTTATAGCGTAAGGACGAAAAATCACAAATTAGTTGAACAAGATAAACTAATGTACTTTTTTGCTTGTAATTGATACGAAAGTTGCAAGAAAAGTATTGGAATAAGTGGATACTACGTTGTGAACAATCGGACGATTTAAAGCGCTATGCGTCTTATAAATTAGCTCGAAATCAATACCGGTTAGCTTCCGCTAGAGTCATTGTTTCATATTGGTAGTTAACATAATTTTATATATATTTTGTTATCGACGTTAAGAAATCGAATCAAACGGCAGACTTGGAATCATTGGAGACAGTATGTTTCATGGAAGAGAACTCGGAAAGTTAGATATAAAGCTGCAATTTTACATAACAGTTTTAACTTTACAATTTATCAGCTTATTTATTTCTCCTTGATATTTTATACTAGCAACAATATGTTAAGGCTGAAGCATTTTTTATTCTGAAAGCGTTACCGAGGTAAGAGTAATTCTATCTATTCGGCTACAGATTTCTGTCAGTAGAGGATCCAACCTTGTTTTCGTTATGAAAAGGTACTTTCAAAGATTAAAATTGTACGTGGAAATAAGGCGCATTAAATTTGAAAGACAAGTTGAAGCTATACGACTAAATAAGTATGTACATGACTATGCATTTTCTAGAAATTGAATCAAGTCGTAAATTTAGAATCGAATTAAATAGATATTGTTTATTATTTTAAAAGCGAAATATTACAGGCTAAGATGTTTTATAAATGGCTAACATTATATCACCTTAATCAAGATGTCAAAGTTATGCTCGAATCGGTAAGAAAATTCTACCCAGAAAATGATAGTACGGCTTATTTCCTTTTCTAATGGAATACAAAAAATAATCATTTATAGGCTATATGTCATCATCAGCAACATATGTTAACGACAGTTTTTAATAAGTGGAAAAGAACGGCCTATGAAGCGAAGGACTTACATGCAAAATATGTAAAAGCTATAGAGAATAACATTGTTGTTAATTTAGTACTACTACTTTTATATTTTCTATAACGGCTTTGTAATTAAATAAGATTCTTCCGTGCAGGATTTGGCATTATCAATCAGAAATCATAAAGCACTTAAGCAAACATTTCAACATTGGAGGAATTCGAAAAATATGCTTTTAGCAAGGTATGTATAGAGATTCTAAATTTTGACGTTAATCTATTTTTGGAAGTGGATTCATGGATGAGTCCTTCTACTGCAGAAAACACCGAATGGAATTAGCTATAAAACGATACAGGTTAAGATGTATTTCTAAATGCTGGAAGGGCTGGATAAAGGTAAGTGTATTTCTGATGAGGAACATAATACTAGATTGTGATTACTACACAAAATTACGTATCTGTTGATAACGTACCATTGTCATTTTTCTAGTACACTTTAGAACGTAAGCGCAAATATAAGGAGTACTTTAAAGCTAACCATCACTATTCTGTGGCTTTGTTATCGAAAACAATGGATGAATGGAAGGTATGCACGCCAAACGGAATGTAAGATATATGCTTTAAAGGTCACTAAATCTAATAATATAAAACTTTTTCATTTGTTAATTTGAAGTCTTATAACGTGTTATGGGGAGAAATCAATACTAAAGTAGCAGACTTAGCGGCTTCGAAAAGAATACTTTTACTTCGGTATGAACACATAATTATAGTTAATTTGATTTCAAAATTAAGAATTATATATTCAACCGTAATATTTAGTGATGGATTCAAGCAATGGCGAGTAGCTATACGTACAATAAAAGAACTGAAAGCGATAGAAACAGAATGTAATAAAATTTATCATAAGAATTTGCTAAGGAAGGTATTAAGATGAATATGGATAGTATTATTGTCATAATGTGTTAATGCCTTAGCTTTATTAATTAGTATAGACTGACTCTATTGTGTGGTTGTATGATGTGTAATGATTTCCAATCCCAATAGGTTTTATCTAATTGGTACAATTACTTATCGGAACGTACAATCGAAAAGCAAATGCAACGAACAAAACTAGAAGAAGCTCGAATACAGCTAAAAGCTTGTAAGTAATCTTAGTAATATATTTTAAACGTCAAATTAAGCCCTTTGAATATAAGAATATTTATTAAGCCGTCGTTAAAACCAATGTATTGGTCTTTAAATTAGCAAAATTAGCAAGAATCTTTAGTCATTGGCGAATCAGTAAAAATGAAATTGTAAAGATGAGACAAAAAATGGAAATTGTAGTAAATTATGATAACAGAAAGTGTCTGAGAAATGCATTTATGAAGTGGAATAAATACGTAAAGTTATGCTTTCGGAAAGAGGTTTGATTAGATTTGATTTTATGCTGAAAAATTTCCTTGCTAGTGACTTGTTAACTTTTTAATTGCATTATACGGAAGTGGTACTATATTTCTTTTTCAATGTAAATAATCCTCGCTTCTTGACTGATTCAGTATTTACTTGATACTCGTTCATATCTCTAACAAATTATAACAGTATGCTGTACTCTAGTAATAGTATATCTCGAAGATATTACAGCATGCTGAAAGAATCGATAATAACTAATTATATAGGTTATGGTACGGCAACAGATTGTACACTATACCATTACAATCTATTTCAAATATTTCTCGTTATGGAAAAAGCAATACAACCAGTCTATTTATCAAAAAGAAGCTACTGCTCTCTCATTGTGGCAGTGGACATTGATGCTACAGAAAAAGGTTCTAATATATAAATTAATTTCCAATCTAATAAGCTGATTTTATACGACCTCTAAATCCTACTGCGTAAGATGTCAACATATTAGAACATCCTATGACCCATTATTTATACCGCTAATTTCTTTATGTCCTAATCCAGGCATTTAAAGCTTGGCTTGGCTATACCAAGTATAAGAAAGACAAAGCAGCTCGCTTTTCCAAAGCTACGGAGATGAGACAACAATATTTGTTAAAGACCGGAATCGTTGCTTGGCTAAGGGTCAGTAATGAGAGGATAGATATACGTTTCTTGCTAAATATTTACTTTATTAAGCATTTTTGTACGAAAAATTGACTAGATTGGAGATGAAATAGCACAGCAAAAGAAATTAGCAGTTAGTAAAAGGGAAAGTGAAGTGCGTATAAAATGTGTATTATATGTAATAATGTGACTCCAGTTTAAAGTTTATCTTTGTACTGAAAATAAATCATTATTTGATATAATTGTAGAGTTTGTATCGAATCTATCATGTCGTATACAAATTTGCCCGACATTGGATGTATGTTACATTTTCGAAACAACCCACAGTTAGAAATCTATCGGCAATTCCAGTACCTCCTCTACTTATTGAAGATGGTAATTTTCATTTCTGAAAGAAAGAAAACAAAAGTTACGTATATTAGTTAAAATGCTAATCTTTACTTTTCGTCCGTAGAAGGTACATCATCGAATGAAAAGCTTGAAGTAACCGAATCGTACGTTATTTTATCGCTTATAACTAAAATATACAACACTAGTATTATAAACTTCTAATAATCCAGGCGAAGTTTGACCTAAAAATAAAATTAATGTTTTTACAGGTTCCCATCTTTGCAGTATCTAAGAGATAAACAAGTCAAGCGACGAAGACCCAGAATTCCCGACTATCTGCACTCGGAATATTCAAACGCATCAAATGAAACTGCAGCAGTAAGATTAGCCGCAGTTAAAAATAGAAAGGTGGCTAGAATTCCGTCTCATCTGGGCAAGAATGAAGCACTTGTTAGGACTTTAGATGCAATCGATGCCAATATTTTACCCCGAAAGACGCCTCAACCGCTAATAAAAGAGATTCCGGTACCGGTACATGACTATTTAGACCCCGTTGAACTGAAAACAGATCGAGATCAATTGTCTCATAAGATATCAGATTCAAGTTCATATCAATATGTTAATAAAGATGGAGCAAAGAATAAGGGTCTACCACGTGCAATAAACCCTGTTAAACTGAAAACGGACAGAGATCAGTTATCTCGTAAGAAATCAGATTCAAGTTCATATCAATTTATTGATGAAGGAGCAGAAAACAAGAATCTACCCTATGAGATAAACCCTACTGAGCAGAAAACATACGGAAATCAATTGTCTCAGAAGACATTAGATTCAAGTTTATATCAATTTATTAATAAAGAAGGAGCTGAGAATAAAAGTCTACAGTGGGAGATCTTACAAATCAAGGACGAATTACAAGATTTTGAGAGATTAAAGCTAGAGTATAAGTATGAATTATAACTTTAAAAAATATTAGTAATGCATTATAGCAAATCTTTTAATAGCTAGAGCATTTTTTGGTACTTTTTTATAAGAGAAATACCGTGTTAAGCAGAGTAGAACATATGGTAGCAATGGAACTGATCATTTATGATGCATCATTACTAATTGATTGAATCGCGTCAGTATAGTATGGAGTAAATTTACATTTATGATTTTTGTCTTCCATACAAATAGCTGCTGTATAGAGTCTCGTCGTGATATTCTGAATAGATTAGAGCAAGAAACGAACGATGATAGAGTTATCGATCTTGACGGACGATTGAAGCAGGTAAGAACTCTTTGTAGGAAACACTATTGAATTTTACTTAAAGAATCTAATTTATTATTAGGTCATAGTATTTATTGCAATTATATACGTAACTAGTAATAAGCTACTGGACAAAGTTAGACACTTCTTGGTTGACCCGTTTGTTTACTATCTTTATTCCATCTGTATACAGATAAACATGTTATTGGATATACAGAAAGCAAAGCTAGAATGTAATCGGCCGCGAATTCAGCAGCTACTAAGCCATATTCGTACGCTATTAAGACAACACAGTACTTCATAAAGGGTTCCCTTTATCCATTCTGTAAAAAATTGTTTGATTATCGATTTCTACAAAATTGACTTAATTACTGTAAATAAAATAAAATTCTTGTTAATTTATTTACGCCTTATGATACAGTAGATTAGACTAGAAATACAGTAGGTAGTTTATCTGTTATGATGAACATTTCTTGCTTACAATGCTTCCTCACATTTCTACTCTTGGTAGGTCATTGTAAACAGTTGCAATTACGAAAGATATATGCAATGACCTTCACTGACGTCAATAGAATAATTATATAGACATTACCGTGTACTTTTTTACCATCTTCAATCATTGTTATACTATACTGTAGTAATATTTGGCAGTCTCACATATAAATTATATTATAATGTATTTCGTCGTGGAAGAATTTACATGCCATCGTAATGGTTAGCAAGCAGTGAAAACGCTTGACTTCTAGTCGATTTTAGTCGAATTCGGGAATATCTTCATATGAATAGCCACTGTAACCTCGATATGCATAGTAGGCAATTCGTACATGATAAAATCCAGGGATAAACAAGAGAGAACCAATCACGAATAACACAGTATAAGTTGATCTTCTTTCATCTGGTTCCTAGTTTAGTCAAAGAAAAGCCATTAATGGTAGTACGAGAAATGGAGACTTGTTAAACTATGAAAAATTTGGAACTGTAAACAAAGGATGTACAGTATACCATGATGGATGAATGTGGGGCAAGTGCATGAGTACTATTAATGAAACAAGCTATAGTATGTATTTGGTATGATTCTGTGGGCGTATTCAACGATTATACGATGATGGAATGATAGTTGTACTTGAAGCAAGCAATTTACCATCAATACAGTTGTAACTAGTTGTAACAAAGTCAACGATGGCTATTGCAGTATTCAATAGCAATTCATGTGCAGTATATTGTATCGTATACTTATTCTACAATCTATCCATAGCATACGAGTATCGATTGTATACTACATGGTCATATCATTCATTTCCTGTTGCTGGATTATACCTTAATGTCGAATGATAATACCGGGATGAGTTATTGTATTGAGATAATGATAGTGGAGATACAAGATTGTTATAGTGATAATTCTACGTCTTGATGGTAAGAGTAATTATCAGTATCAGGTAAAGTGGAATCTACAATACACTACTGTAAATGATGGATCAGCTTGAGTGAAGTGCGTGTATAGGAATATCTACAGTATGTTGAAGTGGGGTTGATCATGAAAAGGGCATGCTACAAGTAAAATACTCGTATATGACGATCGTAGATAACCTTGATCCCAGCTCCTCCAGTAAAAATGAGCGCCGCCATCAAGATCATAATGGATCCAGCTAGAAATAAAGTACAAGCCAGAACAATCGCTTTGATCGGAGCTCGAGGTTTAGGCTTGCGAAACTATTTGAAAAGTAATTGAAAATCATTGCATCAGCATTATCAAAACAATTCTATTCTAGCAAGTTGGTGGCTAGACTTGAGCCACAAGAAATGATTGCGCTAGCCTTGCATAAAAGGCAACTACCCAACCTGCATGCTTGTAAATTCTTCATTGCCCTCTGCTTGCAAGCGCATATATTTACTAGCTTTTTTCTTCATTTTTTACTGATGGATACGATGTCAATAAGATAATTCAATCTACTTGTGGTACCAACGATTGGAAAGAATTGACCAAGGCAGTCCAGAACCTGGTTCAATTTTTCAAGTGGAAGATGTCAACAATGTCTGAACTAGACCAGGGTTCGTCAGTTCGGTTCGGTTCAGTTCGGTTCGGTTCAATAACTTTATGTCTCTGAACTTCAGCTTTGATCCACTCACTTTATACAATATACACTACCGTATGACGTGTACGTACCAGTAGTCAGGTCTACAGTAACCAGTGCTCACTACTCAGTATCTCCTACGCCTGCTTGATCGACTATTTTTTACTGGTCATTGAGTCATTGGACTCTACTGTACTAAATACAGGGTGATGCAAATGTTTGGAAACGTTTTATGGTACTTTCTATTGGAAATAGTTCCGATTTTTGTACAGCTACCCCTTGACTTGAAAGCGCGCTTGTACGCATGTGCAGACTATTCGCGCTACATGCTGACAGTGTGTACTACAGTGTACAGTACGCTGCATACAGTACTGTACTGTAGCAGTGTCGTCTAGTACTACTGTATACAGTACAGTACGGTACTATGGTACAGTACAGTACTGTACAGTACCCGATCAGCTTTACAGTAACGTACAGTAATACAGGAATACAGTACAGTACAGTAATACAGTAACACAGCAATACAGTAATACACTAATACAGTAATACCAGTCAGTCTGTGGTTCCGGATCATCTGCAGAGCGAAAATCAAACTTGTTTATGCCTACTCTTCATTAAGTCTAGAAGGAAAGAAAATTAGCTGTCTTTCCAAGCTATTTATTTGATTCAACTCAGGTAGTAGCATAACTATCTTTCAAAATGCCATCCCGTAGTCGTTCCAGAAGTCCACACTACGGCGAGATTCGATCTTGTAAGTGGCAGCCAATGGAAATGGCTGCATAGCGTCTCCAAGGAGACATTTTCAAATTGTTGATACATGATTCAATTGGGAATAACTGTTGATCAATGCATGCTATCCTATTCATTCCATATTGTTGATATATAGATGATCGAAGGCGCCGAAGTCGATCGCCAGATAGAAAACCAGGTAATACACCTCTCTTAATTGTTCCCCTTCAAAGTATTGCATGTGGCCATGGCTGTCTGTCTCTCAACACAATCGTTCCATTCACAGAGTCTGGACATTAGTTTAAAAGAAACTCTACCTGCTGATTCCAGCATCCATTCGATCTTAAATACAAATTAGGATTAAAAAACCTGAATCATCCCATTGTACATATATAGTCTTACTCACCCAAGATGATCGTGTATTAGGCTAAAATTGACTTATCCTCAGTAAGAACAACATTCTTACAACGCTTACCCAACAACTTAAGATAACGTAAGACTGAAAGATAGACGTTCGATACCTTGGTTGGTTGCAAGCAATTCCGTATCCAGAGTACGATGCTATTATCGCATCTAAAATTCTACGTAACCTGCCACTACTAACTTAGTTAATGACAGCTACCATACACAAACAGATGTGTGTGTGTATGCAATTGATGGTGAAGGATAATTACAATTGAAATTGTAAATGAGTCCTTAGCATGTCACTATAATCAATTTTAAGAGCTTATCTCTTATAATACGGATACTGTAGTTGTATTTCTGCTTGAATCAAATCCTTTATCAAATTTACATGGAAAACGTCAAAAAACCATTCAAAAGTGATACTAGTACCTTGCAAAAGTTGCAACGTAACCAACACAGAATACTTGCAACATAAAATGACTTATGCGTATGGTATAATCATTGACCTGCCATCTTCCAATAGATTAGCATGATACGATTACACCTATACTAGAAAAGAGATTGTATTGTAAATCTGTCAATGAATTTCAATAGCAATACGTTGATCCACGTTTACTAGGTTAGGCAGTGCTATGCATAACTTAATTCTTGTATTCATTGCTCTACTTATACCATGCTATCCCGATCAAACTTAAAACTTGACCACCTAGTCGTAAGTCATACAATATATCGTAACTGACATGATTGGTAACTTGTAAATACTCGTATTGTTGTTCCTTAATCGCTGGAAAATATTGTACGTGCTAGTCGATCTCTCGCTCGATATACTTCGTGTACCGTAGTTGTACTGTACCTTTTTACTTTACTGTATCATCTATTGTGTCTGCGTACTGTAATGACCCAAAATATCTTGTCGTTTAATATATATGGATATATTTTTGGCTATCCTTTAAGGAACTAGTCGTAGAAGTCACTCAAGATCGCCAAAACGACGATCAAGGTCTCCGAGATACCGAAGTCGTTCTCGTTCTCCTGGTAGAAGATACCGAAAAAGATCAAGGTAACCAAATGCAGTATCAATTTAGGCAATGCAACATCTCTGCTATCTACTTGTAATCTGATTTCACTTATAATAATTGTAGTACTAACCATAAGTCTTATTTTTACCATATTTAGGTCACGATCAGGATCTCCACGGCGTTCGAAAAGAAGTCGGTCACGTTCTCCTAGATCACGACGTCATAAGGATTCTAGGTTTAAGTTAATACTGTGATGCAAATCCTATCTTTTGCCATAGTACTGAGAATGATAACTTATTAATTAGTGCATATATATACATATTCAATGATATAGATCCGACAATTATGACAAGCCCAAATCGTCCGGGAGAAATAGTAGTATGTATTGCTATAAAATTAAGAATAGAATTGTAATATAACCTTATATAAAACCTTTGCTGGAGAAACTAATTAAAGTCTACTATTATTTCATTTAGATGTATCTCTTGAAGGATTGGATGAAGAGGAAAAAATGATGAAATTGATGGGATTCTCCGGCTTCGATTCAACAAAAGTAAATGCTACAGTGCTTATTTAATTATTCCACTAACTTTACCTATTTTATTCAATGTTCGCTCTTAAATGAATAAATTATTTATAGTATAGGAAAGAAAAATCAAATTTTAAATAGATAGCAATAATGTTACTTCGTTAACTTTACCTATATTTTCAATAATTAGATATAAACAAGTTTACAACGTCTTCTATGAAATAGCGTACTTCTCGATAATTTAACATTTTCCTTCTGTTTATAGTCCTATTGTGGCACAATTAGTCGAAACTAAGTGATCATTGCATAACTAATTAATTATATCCACTGATTAATTATAAAATATTCTTATCATCTTATCTTGGCTTTGTTAGGGAAAACATGTTGACGGCACAAATAACGCAGAAGGTACTCGAATTCAGCAAAAGAGAAGATACAGGTAGGTTTACTTATGCTGGCATTCGTACAAGGCTGATCAACTATTACTTCTAATTGATAACGCTTTTACTACACTCTAGGCAATATATGAACAGAAGAGGTGGATTCAACAGACCGTTAGATTTTATTGCTTGAGTTTCTATGATGTATATTTGCCTGTAAAATTGCCAAAAATGGATACATTTAACTGAATGTTATCGTATCATGTACTTGTACTAACTACGATATAATCTACATACTAACAACTAAAGTAGTTTCTCTGAGTAAAACTTTTACTCTACTCCTTTTGGATTTATTTGTTATACATGTTATTGTGTGTTGTATATTGTAACCATGTTTTCGTTTACCGACTCTATCCGCTAATAGCCCTGTAACATTCCAATATTAATATAGAAACAAAAATCCATATGTGCAAGTTCTGTTGCCATCTACTTACTGGAGTTGTCAAAATATCGATGCTCATCGCAAACTACCGTTAAATTATGAGTGTAACGATTAAATGAAAGAAACAGTAAAGTTCATCATTTTTATCTACTGTAGTATCCATACTAACAACACTTTAGCAGTCCTGATTCACATTTATATTTTATAATTTAAAAATGTTTAATTTTGATAACTGACTTATTAAATATCAAATCCTGCATGGTACTTTTGCCTACTGTAATCAGCTACATCTTTCTCGCGGAAGTAGAGAAATAACGCCGAAATTCAGATTAGATCGCACGTGTTATAGAATTCACAAGCTACGATTTAGTTAAGAAGTATCTGAATTATTCTGCGTTGATATTGTGCTATAAATTCAGTACTACGTGACGTAGGCATTATAAACAACGAGGTCTACAGTAAATTGAAAATTTTCAATACCACTACTACAGCATGAGTTTCTCTTATAAATTCTTATTACTAGAACTTGAGGTTATGGCACGTTTACAGTATTATATGCGTACTTTAAGGTTCGTAAATCAAAACTACCATAACAAATGTTTCCGAAGTAGACTAAATATTTCATAGATAAACTTTGAAGATTTATCAAAACTAAATCATAGCAGATAAATACTTCCTATAGAACAGCTGCGATGTATCCATTCTTGCAATAAATGGTATAACATCATTAATGACAATTTTAGCGACACAGATTATTCGAAGCATCGGTATCAACAATGCTACCTTAACTGGTTCGCTTAAGTTTAAAGTTTAAAAGTATATTTGGTTATTAAAATTTCATTCATTTTTTATCCATAAGTGTTTTTCGCTGACCAGTTAGTTAATCTTTCTTTTATTATCTATCAACCGATTAATAACATAGTAAATCACGACAAACCTACTTGTAACAGTTTTATCGTGATATGAATACAATCAATCACCGCCTATGTTACGGTAGTCATAATAAACATATTACTTATATTATCTTGATGTGCATAATAACATCCAATTTTATGAAATACTAAGATAGCAGAACACGATTGTAGATACCCAAACGTCAATGAAATAATAATTTTATACATTAATTAAATTAATAGCTTAATAGTAATAATTGTTGTTTTTAAATTTGCACTGCTAACTTAAAATAAGGTTTCAAAAGGTATATGGTCGTACTGATTTGATATCTGATAATAATTAACTCCATTGCTTATTTTGTTTGACTAATTAAAATTATCACAGAGTGCCAGTATATAGAATAATTTCACGATGCACCGATATTAAGTTAATATCTATCGTTATGTATAGTTGAATCAGTGTTACGAGTATACCTGCTTATGTTTCCTCAAATAATGCTAAAAGATATATCAATTTCCTTATGAGTTGTAACATGAAGCTGTAAATATAAAAATTTTTACCTGCTATAAATTTTTAGGTCTATACTCATTCTACAACATAAGACTATTATAACACTATGGAGGAGTATACTTAATCATCATAGTAAATATAATTAATATCCTACCATTCTGTTATCACAAATTCATTAAAATTTTGCTTTACCGTGCGCTATATTAGTATAATAACATCGTATATATACTATATACGCATAAATTGAGTACCAATAACTTAAACTATGTACGGTATTATTGAACTATAGATTATCTCGTCTATATAATTTAGCAAATACATGGAATATTACTTAAAGATTTATTAGATAGCATGAATTCTTATGAAAGATACCTTTTTTGTTTTACAAGATATCAAGAAATTTGTAGAATTTAAAATAATTGTCGTTTATTTACAATATAACGTATTCATATCCTGTTGACTATAAGACCAATATTAATCATCATAATTTTCTCGAGGCTGATAATGTAGTACTAGCGGAGTCTCCTATTTATTGATAAAAATTTGTAGAAAAACAGATTAAAAAAATTTGTTTATGGATATAATAAACGGTTATAAGCTACGCTTAAAATAATATTATCAGTATACTATAGGCAATAGTAAGGATAAATACGAATCGTAATATGATGTAATTTACCCCCTGAGGCTTAAAAATATATAAATCTAATAACATTAATAACTTCTTCTATACCTTATTTCGCCATCTTGTTAGGCATATAAATTTCAATGTATGATCTTTACCTAATATTTCGTCATTGCATAGAATCTCCAACTATTTTTTTAAATTCGATGTAGTGAGAAAATTGATTTATATTTTATGATATTCTGTGAAAGCATTACTATAATCATCCGTAAATTTACCTCGTAAGGCTTGCTAATTTGTAACTTTTTAGCTACAAACTTTTTTAAATGCATTACTGTTGCTTGCACGGAACAAAGTAAAAATTTTCGATGCAATTGCTAAAAAAATATAATAGAATTTTTAAAGCTTTAATAAATATTGAAGTACACAATCAATCTTTACCGTGATATCGGAAAGTACTATAGGTATCTAAATACGATATGATAAGTCGACTATTACTTACATCAAGATTGTAACCATTTGATCTTTAATCCATTTTCAAGCAAGTAATCAATAATTACAGATAAAGACAATAAAAATTAGAAGGTTATCTTAAAAATCGATAGTCGAGGCATTGCATCATTGCAGAGTACAAAAGGCTTACTTTTTGCATTCCAGAATAATAGCAATTTGTTCATCAGCTCGATGATAATCGCATGCATCATTAGAATATGAATTAGCGGATTTATTCTTTTTGGCAGGTGAATTTTCATTCTCAGAATCTAATTAAATCAAAGTAAATAGTAATTATATTCAACGTTACGATGCACTAGTCAAAAGAGTGATTAAACAAATCAAAATTAAGTTTGATCAATTCTTACCGCTTAATCGCTTTTTAGGCCATCTTAACCCTCTTGATTCATAGAACTCTCGCTCTGTCTCTAATTCTCCTACATTAGCAATATCTCCAGATTAATACCGGCTATATTTAAATTTATAACTTACTAATTATATTTTACTATTATAGTACATCGCTCATCTATGATTCATTTAATTTATGGTTAAGTACCCCAATAATATATCTAATATGATAAGCATATGAATTGGTATTATTATTAATTTTTTAATTTTTCAGTTCCAAATTATAAAGCCTGCTAATATCATTGTACGCCGAGAATTATTAAATTATATAGCAATAAAATTGGGCTAAATGGAAGTCTTATATAAAGTATTTCAAATTTATAGTTTAAATCATACTAAATTTCAGTTAGTACTGTCTATCATAAACCAAATAACGTTAAATGTTCAATTTTATGAAGAAATTTTTTCAAAAATTAGCAGTATTAATTAAATACGTAATTTATGTGCTGAACATACATTATCATAAATCAGCTTGATCGATCTTACTGTATATTATTATTAGTTCTAAATTTAACGTAATCTATTTACAATAGTCCAATTCAATATAGAAAATGAAAATAAAAAGATGATATTGGTCGTAGCTGACATCAATATATATCTTGTCTATTTAGTGTTGACATAACATATGCCTATACTGGTTACTGTATAAATCTATTTAAAAAAAGGTAATGATACTTTATAAACTGTATAGTCTGTATCTTTTATCATCATTATTAGTTTAAGAACAAATGGTAAGTAGACGTTACTGTAACGAAAACCAAAAAATATTAGAGAGATTAATAAAATTGTAGCAGCCATCATAGCCTACGCAAGGATAAGATCAATTTAGCTCTCTATGCTTAGTTTTATTAAAACTACATAATGGTTTTACTATGATCGCTATACTAAAAAAGGTTCTCGTAATAGAATAACTTTAAAAACTAAAACTGCTTTCTTATTTCAACGGCTTTCAATTGAAAACTATTGTCATAGCTCCTATTGAGTAGTAATAATTACTGTATAGTATATTTGCTATTCTCCACCATCAATGACTAGATTCACCGTTAATTTCAGATAGATGCAAACAACAACCGTTAAATTAGGAGTAAAAATATGAAGATACAGTATAATATACATTCAATAGTATTAAAATTTTTCTTCGTTAGCCAATGTATCAATAGGCGTAAAACAAATAGCTATTATTTGCCTTTCAATAAAGATAAAAAAGAACTAAAGCAAGTTAAATAGATTATCAACTATAAATCTTGCGAAGATTATGCTATAGCACTATGATCTATTCATAACTCAATCCACTATCAAATTAAAAATTGTACTAGAGACACGCATGATATTAATTTATCAACTAACTCTAAAAACTGATACTATCTAGCTGATTTTCAATCGCAACGATTGAAAGTCTTGTTGGAATGTTGTAAACACTCCCTTTAGGGGAAAAATAAAGAATTAAAAAACTAAAGCATATAAAGCGATCCATATTGGCAAGGAGTAATTATTTTTATTTGCTTAATCTATTCATCATTTGTTTACTTTCTATTGTTTCAAGAACCGCCTGATACTTACAACAATAGTTTGATGTATGCTAATTATTTAAGAATAGATAAAGCAATTGTTAATTGATTTAATTGAAACAATAGAACTTACGTTCTTGCAATCCAGGAACCAATTTATAAACTAAATCTTGCATAGTTCGATCGTAGCTAAAATGAACAGGAAGACTTAGTTATTTCCCGTTAATCATATCTGAAAATTACTCCATGAAATTTAAATAGATGAGTTCAAAATAGAAGAAATAGTTTAACAGTCTATTTATCATCAAATAGAATAATATTACGTTGTCAGTAGAATTTCTCAGTATTAGGTCGTGAGATCAAATTTACTAGCAATTTTTCAAATTAATTTATTTAAAATCATCTGATCTATGTAGTTCAATGGATAAGCACAATTTAGAACCTATAGCTTATAGCCTACATATGATCAAAAAGAATAAGATAACGTTGTTGACAGATTTCTCATAGTTAGATCATAATTGAAATCGGATTCACTAGTGCTTTTTTCGGTTGATGTTTTTAAATTCGTCTTGTCCATAAAACTCAAGTAGATAAACACAATTTAGAAGCAATATTTTATGATCTATTTGAGATCAAACAGAATGTATCCGTCCTAATAAAACTTTCAATACCACCATAATTAATCGGATTCAATGCGGTATGCAGTTTCCGTAATTAAACTGTTGAGTGATATATCTCATCGGTTAGATCGAGTTATCAGCAGTCGACGATATAGTCGCATAAGAATGTTTTTGTATGAAAGAGTAAGATATTAGACGACAGCGTAAAAATGATGAAATTTTACTATTTATTCCTTTTATGTCAAGAGCAACATCAATACGCCATGATAATATCACTTTTTTAAGTTGATAGCAGAATTGGATACTCTTCTAATCAATTGTATAGTTGAAAGCATAGAGATAACAAGCAAGGAGGAATATGTTTATGTAACATATATGTTATTAAAATCAAACCAACTAGAACGGTAATAATGACTACAATCAATTAATATAACTCAAACCAGAAGATGTTGTAGTATAATATTACATAAACTCTATTGAGCATTAAGGCGACAGTATTGGTAGACAAGTAATATTTCATCTACGTCATCTGCGTACTGTAGTCGAACCGTTAAAGGTCATGAAAGTAAAAACTATTCGATCCTAAGTTTTATCCTATCTCATCGGAATCCTTTAACAGTTACTACTTCATTCATAAGCTATACTGTCTATTTTAAACTATCTGCACTATTCGTTTCCAGTGCTACAAAATGGTAATCGATAGGATTTATAGCGCAGTACTAACTGCAAGAGAACTTGTAATCGATTTACTAAATGTGGATGGAGGTGAAAGAGTAACAAAGAAAATCGAAATGTGTCCTTCGTGGATTTTACCTTTAAACGGCTAAGATAACATATCTAATTAATAGAATTAATAAACTCTATGTAGTGTAGAATCATTATTGGATCGATTAGCAGCGATGATGAAATCAAAAATTGTCTCCTATCAATTTATCCTATTTTATTATACAATCGATGATTAATATTTTATCATCAGTATCAATAGAAATAACTGATCTGCAATGTCAACAAATTAAATTAGTCTCTTGATTGTCGACAATAGGACTACTGGTGAGTATTCATCATATAACCCTAAGAATGAACAATAGTCTAAGTAACATTGAATAACTGGCGTAACTAGCTGTATCCTGTGGTGATGATATACGATGAAAGATGGATGTTGTGTAGGAAGATCAATCGAATCATTCCAATTTATTGGAACAGATCATGGTATACTAATGATTAAATCTCGTCATAACATTTGAAAAACTATCCTAACAAGAGGGATGAAAGACAACATGGCTAATGCACGTATAGGAACAGATGGCATTTAAAGTTATCATGATTTACCAGTAAATTGATCTATTTAAGTATTACAGATTGAAGAGAAATTTCTCAATAAAACATAAAATTCGATGGATACTCAATATCCTCTATGCCCTCAGGTAGTAATTTAGAGTTATTCTATATCCAATCTACTCGTATATAATGGAAAGAATGTCTTTGATATATAGTAGCCTATGTTATATATTAATTCAAGCATTTACTGATACAAAAAGAACTTTTTTCAATAACGATAAAATTAAATGAGATACTCGATATTCTCGATATACTCAGGTAGTAATTTAGAGCTATTTTTCGGTCAACTATTCAAGCATTTATTTATAAAATGAAGAGTTTTCAATAAAAGCAGAGCGATACTATTCACTCAGGTGGTAATCTAAAGTTACTTTATTGCCAATACAGAAATGATGGCATGCAAAATTCATAATATTACCGGTCAATTTATGCACTTATCTATTTAAGTATTTATAGATAGGGGGAAGTTCTTCAATTAGACAAACTACTGTAGATTGCCGTTCTATTTACTCCGGTACCTGTAGTAGTTTGGAGTTATGGCCAACATATAAGATTACAGTAATAATGATTTAATCAATTTTATACATTCCGAATGCAAGCATTTACGGACAGGGGATTTTGACGAACACTTAACAGGCATTCTATTCATCCAGCCATTTAGGCCAGCACAATGGAAATGGTTTGATTTATACATTCTACTTTCAAACATTTACGAATAGAAGAGAAATTCTTTAGTAAAACTAAATGGGCGCGCTATTCCGTGCGGTGCCGGTAGTGGTTTAGAGTTCTAGTTAATATGTTCTTAAGAGTACAGTAGAAATGATTTAATCCATTTACATATTCCGATATTCAAGCATTTACGGACAGAGGGGGAATTCTTGAGTAACTCTGAACAGGTACTCTATTCATTTGGCCATTTAGACTAGCACAGTAGAAATAGCTCGATTGATACATTTCACTCTCAAGCATTTACGGATAGATGAGAAATTCTTCAGTAAAACCAAAATGGATGTTTCATGTATCTAAGTAGCTATTTAGAGTTATTTATACGCTCCTGTATTCAAGCTTTGCAGACAGAGGAGAAATTCTTTAGTAAAACTAGACAAACACTCCATTCATCCGAGTAATCATTGACAGTTATATTTATGGCCAATATAGACGAATATAGTAGGAATGATTGAATTCATTTCTATACTCGCCTTTCAAGCATTGACGGATAAAAGGAAAGTTCTTTTGCATTAATGTAAAAGTGGCCGGATAGTTTATGCAACTTAGACAGTCATTGCTAGTTATTTTTATGGCCAATATACTGTAAATTATAGATTAGTGAAGTATGTAGAAATGAATCATTGACAGATATATTTATAGCCAATATAGACGAGGACAGTAGGAATGATTGCATTCATTGCTATAATCGCCTTTTAAACATTGATGGATAAAAGGGAAATTCTTCAATAGCAAGGGAAAAGCAGATAGACAGTCTATATACCTAGGCAGTCATTGACAGTTATTTTATGTTCGATATAGACGAGTATAATATAAATGATCGAATTCATTTCTACACTCGTCTTTTAAACACTGACGGATAAAAGGGAAATTCTTTAGTAGAACTATAAAAGTAGATGGATAGTTTATGCACCTAGGCAGTCATTCATAGTTATTTTATGGATATAAAAGATTAAAAAGTAGAAAATCACCCATAGCGTAAGGCAAGAAATGACTGATCTATGATAACTAACTTCGAAAGTAGGCCTTTCTTTGTGATAGAAAAATATGATATATTGTCAATTTCAATTGATTTTAAAACAATAATGACGGAACTAATGGGTTGTCGCTCAACTTAGACTACCTCTGAATAAATTGAACTAAACAATAACCTACCTGATTATAAAAGAAAATTATGCTGATTTGAAAATAAACATCGAAGAATCCTCCTTGAATATCTCTTACCTGATATATTGTAATGGATGGCTTTGATGGACGACATTATCGCATTTTGGGCAATTATTGCTATCTTCTAGATGCTTAACAATACAAGACTTGCAGACTAGCAAATGTAAAAATGAATATTAGGTTAATAACTCTTCAGGATAGTATAGAGTATCGTTAGGCATTGTAAATATAACATTGTAAATATAACATTAAATTAATTCCATGTATTCACATATAAATAGGATAATTCTCTTGATTAAAAGATAACGTTAAATCAATATAGAAATGATCAATGATGGATAGGATTCAAATACACGAGGCCAAATGATCATAGTGAAGGCCAGCGAATTAAATTTTTCCCCATCAAAATAATGCTCTTGAAACGAATAGAGTGGTGGTTACTACCGCCATTATAATTAAATCGTTTCAACTATAAAGTAATACTAATATCAATAGATTAATCATTCTATTTTCGATTAAATAGTGCATCAATAATTATAATAGCAGAAAGCCTTATAAAAATTTGAAGGCTTCAAATTTGTTTCTAATAGGGATTTCGTTCATGGCTTTGAAAAATTTCCCCCTGTCCTAAGCATATCATTTTATGATGATAGATGCTGATTACGGTTCCTCACTTCCTTATTGATCATCAATTGATGGAGTAATTATCGATAATATTAATGTTGAATTGATAGGATCTAAATCTAAACCATTTGCATACAACAACGCATTATTCAGGTACAACCTAGCGTCAAAATTGTAACTGATTTTAATATCATCCTTTCTATCCATAGACAATTCTATGGGTCCTAAATTCACTCAAGCGTAGCATCATTTACGTAAAATGAAAATAGTATCAACAGCATTCAAATTCTTCTAACTAATTCAAGTGGATACTACAAATTTATCCTTGATTTCAGTCTTTGAGAAAGACTTTATTCTATCTACAAAGCTATCTGGTTAAGGCACCATTTTAAAATAAGGAAGCCAAATCCGAGTAATGGCTGCTTTGATTGAATCAGTTTGGTATAACTAATTTACACGAATAGAAATTGATTCCAAAATGTATTCATCATTTCATCCTCGAATATAATACGGTATATTCTCAACTGCATCCCAGTAGAGTAAACTCGTTCATTATGATACACAATTTTGTCATTTTTTAAGATTTGTCCTAGAAAGATATTTTCTCGTAATAGAAACTCCTACCAAGGTCATTAAAAGTTATTTTAACCCGTGATAGGATAACATGAAAATTGAAATGTTATTCAATAGAACTCCTATCAAGCTCATTAAAAGCCATTTATACTCGTAATAGGATAGCATGAAAACTGAAAAGTTATCCAATAGAAACTCCTATCAAGGCCATTAAAAGTCATTTTAACGTGTGATTGAATAACATAAAAATTGAAAAGTTATCCGTATACTCGATACAAGTTCAGTGAATTGAAGATGAAACTATATTCACCCAATTCCCTCATGCTACCTAACTTGCAAAGATTAATCGATCATTTTATCCTCGAAGATCAATGCTGTCAAGGTATTTCAAATCAATATTAACCTGCCGCATGCTAGCTAAAAAATTTGAAATTAACCCATTTATATGCAAATAGAATTAATCATTGTCATTATACTCGTGTTTATCAAATGCTTACAAGAGCTTTTATTAATCAAGGTATATTCCATTAAGAAGTGTGTTTGAAAAGTAATGTGGCATCATAATCTTGCAATGAATCATCATACTGATATTAAATTGAGTCAAGAATATCCATGGAGATTGGCGTAAACTAGACTGTTAACCGATGAGATTTTGATAGCCCTTATGATCATCATGAAGACTGTTGGTTATCATTCAACCCAAATAGATTAATTAATCTTTTATTGTATCGAATAAGTTAATAACATGATTAGATTTTTAAACCCTAATTGTAAATAATTAATTAGAAAACTGGTGTACCAGTTGTTTGAACGAATTACATTAAACTCGAATGAGAATTCTTCCAATAAATCTTCCTCCAGTTTTTGGTAAAGAAATATTCCTGATTAATTGATCTTCTTGATCACTCTTTCAAGTTCATTATGCCGTCATCTCCTCTATCTTCATATTCTATATCTCAGATATCATTAGGGTAAATAACAAGCAGTTGCTAAATCCATGGCAACATGGTCATCTTACTATTTTGAACGACAGGCGCTTTCCTCGTTCATATTAAATCTCACTAACAGTCGTTATTTGAACATTTCTGATCCATTTTTCCTTTTCCATTGCTCTCTCTACGTTCTACCACTATTGATTTCTGAATAGTCTACCAATAATGCAATACTGTAGCGGTCAAATCCATTCTAACATAGTCATTTATTACTGTTAACTATGGGAAGTTGATATCTTTCTACATCCAATCTCACCAACTTGAATTTGTTTCAATATTTCCAATCCATTCTTTAAGCCAGTTATGGATACCTGAATAGTCCACCAATAGTTATTCCGACACGGCCATTTATTGCTTTTAACTATGGAAAGCAGATGCTTTTCTACACCCAAACTCACCAACTTGAATTTGTTTAAATATTTCCGATCTATTCTTTAAACCATTACTGACACCATAATAGTCTACCAATAGCTATAGTTAATGCTATACTATAACTGTTCAATCTATTCTGATATGGTCATTTATTACTGTGAACTAGGGAAAGTTGATGATTTTCTACATCTAATCTCACCAGCAGCAGTTTATTTGAATATTCATAATCCATTCTCTTTTTCTATCCAACACATTATACCTTCATCAATATCTTGATAGATCATATTTTGTCATGGATTTATTATGCTAGTATCTATAATCCATTTCAACTGACATCAATATGTATTCCTGCTGAACTACCTGATGTTTCCCTATTCTAAAATTTCATGAATAGTCCATGATTAAAAATCTTTACCATGAAAGAGAAAGGCTCTACAGTACCATTGGATTCTTTTTTTTAGCACTAGAAAATGGATCCTTTCCTTTGCTGGAGCAGAATAGCAATAGTAACCTACGATAGAGCTCGTCAAGAAATCTATTAAGAATGATCTCTAGCTAGGATGGAATGATTGGACATTGCATTTTTCATTTCAACGATAATATACGATATATTCTATTGGTAGCTAGAGTATTGTTTTATTGAACTGTCAATAACAAGTAGAGAATCCTGACTCTGCATTATCCCGGCCAGACAAGTACAATTAACCATATCAGATAGTGGTAATTATTTTAATGAATTTTTAAAAGAGTGGGACAAAACTCTTGCTGTGATATTCATTCTTATTTGACTTAATTGTTTTCCCACTTGTCGTCTAGCCATAGCCAATAGTGCTATCTAGAGTAGTTCTAACATTAAAGCATGAAAGAAAATCTGAGTTTTAAACTGTCTACAGGCTCTATTCGTGTTTATTATGACTGCCATCATCAATCGCTTGAAAATCAATTCGTTTATTACTCTATGCAATGTATTGAGAAATCAAGATTTTACTACTGTCTTTCTCCTCTTTAATTTCTTTCACAAGAACTTATTTCATAACATCCATTTCTACTTATTATGGCCATTATCATTTAAATTTTCATTCTAAGGGATAATTAGCTTAGGATAAAATAGAGTAAAAATTCCGGTATGTCTTAATTAGCGTCTATGTTGATTATTTTTTATCCTGCCTAAAACTCAATAAGACAATAACGCCATATTCGTTTATTTTTTCATCCATTTTAATCCTCCATAAACTCCTAATGGTTGAAAGGAGCTTATTAAATAGTTGAAAATCGATTCGTTTAACGTGTAATCGAATTTATTCTTCCATTCATGATATCATACGGTTTTTGTTCGACTGATGATATTAGTCAATGTCATAGTCTGTGTTTATTCCCTATGTCGAAATGAATTCTTTTATCTATGGATAAAAAGTCTATGCATATATAGCTAGGTATATTGATGAGCAAGATGACAAATGTTAATCTCGTCTATTCAATTCACCATTATCAATATCCCCTTGAATAGACTTCGAAATATGAGCTAGTAAAATGGAAGAGCAATTACTAATTTTACCTATTCAATTTACCATCGTCAATATCTTCTTGAATAGGCTTAGAAACAAGAGTTGGCAAAGAGGATGAGCAATTGCCTATTTTATCAGTTCAATTTACCATGATCAATATCTAAATGAATAGGCTTAGAAACAAGAGTTGGCATAGAGGATTAGCGATTGCCAATTTTACTAGCTCAATTTACTATCATCAATATCCATTTGAATAGGCTTAGAAACCAAAGTTGGCAAAATGGATGAATAATTGCTAATATCATCAGCTCAATTTACCATCATCTAATGTCTACTTGAATAGGCTTAGAAACAAGAATAGCCAAGGAGGATGAGCAACTGTCAATTTTACCAGTTTAATTTACCATCATCACTATCCATTTGAATAGGCTAGGAAACCACAGTTGGCAAAATGAATGAACAATTATTTAATGTTACCAGTTCAATTTATCATCAGCTAATATCAATTTAAATAGGCTTGGAAGATTATTCCATTAAAACGTAGCCGATGGATTTTTAATTTAATCTTATTACTAAAACAAGGCCAACTTACGAGTATTCGACTAGAGCCTAAAAAGCTCAATATGGGACTAATCGTAGTCATCAATCATTATCGTAAACTAGTTTAAATAGATTCAATACCATTTTCTCCCGTTATCATTCATTCCCTACGTTTGATATAGAATTGTCCCCTTCAATATTTGGTTGCAAACTCTACTACAGAAACACTTCATGATGTTTTAATACGTCAGATAAAATAAAAGTTAGTGGAAAAGGATCCACTAGCACAGAGTAACCTTCTCCATATTTGTCGGCAACAATATGTATCAATCAAAGCAATTGATTAAGCTTGGCAATTGAATTTTGAACGCTCTCTCATTTCTCTATTTCTATTCACAATCATGATTAACAAAGGCGTTATACTATTCATTTTACCTAATTATCATAATGTTATTACCAAGAAACCTGCTAAGTAATGTTATGATGAAGTAAAATTGGCATCAAGGCACAATTCTGCTTCTTTAAATAGATTAATATGGATGGACGACATTAGGGTAAACATTCATTGAGAAAGATAATTGTACTATATACAGCCTATAATACAGCTAGAAAAATTTCCATGTTTCCTGTACCTTCTGAGCTAATTCTATACAAAGAAATGGCTACTAAAAGTAGAGGATACATTTTTACTGTAGTCAAACGTCTAATGATAGGATTGAATAGTTATCCGCAAAACGAGGATAATTGCATCATTTTTGAGCTAGTCTAGGATGGATAGTAGTAGACATGAACAGAATTCCAAGGCATTTGGTTGTCTTTATTTTTAATCCATGTTTAATAGGATTATGATCATAACGCAAGTAAGTACACCATGACAAGCCTGTATCTGAAGATAGGACTATAAGTAATCATAATTGTACTTGGACGAAACAATTTTTTACTGTTGTGTCTAAGTTAATTTCTCTTGGGAAAGAAACAATTGAAAAGATGGGTCAGTAAAACGCCAATGTTTGAAAAATTACAATCGGTTTTCAATAACCTTTGGGATAAAATGGCTATAATGGAATAATTTCAATGAACTATCGTCAATGTATCCTTGAAAATGTAAAGCAAATATTTGTCGTTATATCCTTTCCAATAGAAGAAATAACTATACACTATGACACAGCAATGACAGCATTGAGAAAGTTGTTGCTCAATGTAAAAATACCATTTCTAATAGGTTAAACGATCCATTTACTGTTAATACAAGGAAAGCAATTGTACCCTAACTAAAAGCTTCATTTTCTTGTGTTAAGAACGAAAAAAACAGGATTGCAATGCATTTGTACTGTACTGTATATAAGCTCTCCTTTTTATCCGAGATGGACGTAGACATTAAGATAAACGAAACTTTTTACTCTCTTTCTATCCAAATCAATGATGGTGTTGTCTGTCTATCTCTGATAGAAAGAAAATGATACAGTCATTGATGTAGAAAATTCTGGCATTTTACCGAGATTGAAGAAATTGCTATCAGATCAAAAGGGTTGCTTTTGTAGTCAAGAAAAGACTTTCTCTATCCTGTTTTTCCACAATAAATTACCCCCTTGCCTGTATATCGATAATAGAATCGAAACTATATGTCTATTTGCGTCTTTTGATTTCAAACTACTGCAAGCTACGATAGGCAAAAGTAATAAGTAGAAATCCAAGAGAATGGAAACAAAATAAAAATTGGCCCATTTCTTTCTCCGCCTCGTTTTCCACAACGCTGAAGATAGACGAGAATAACCCATTTGCTATCATGCAAAAAAGCAAAACAAACGTGTTTCTTCCTTCCCCTAACATTTTTCACTTTTTTAATGTAGTACCAATCAAGGAGAATGGAAGGCAAAATGTCTATTTCGCTCCCTTGAATTTTTTTACCCGTCCAAGCATTCATCAACCAGAATGGAAACAAAATATTCATCTCTCCCCCCTACCTAAGCTATATGAGACGTAGAAGTATCAATTAATGACATTCAAACTAGAACTTGAGGTAAGCTTCAATCCATTCGACCTAAATAAGCTGAATATTTATCGACTAACGATACAATCAGTAAAGTAATCAAGGTTAGCCTAGTTATGAAAGAATGATTGAATTTTAATTGGCAGTATTGGTATAGCCATATTTAACTTGTCGATAGCGGAAGTTGGCGATGTTCTTGATGACTGCTATTCATCCAATCAATAGCCATCATTTGCAAGCAAGTATCAATTCATTTTATTGAAGCAAACTATAAAACTATTTATCCATGTCCATGCAATGGTGGATAAAACGGTGAAAAATTCAACTACTGCTATCCCTTGACCATTTCAATCCATCCCATCAGAAAGAAAAATGAATAAATTAAGACGAAGATTTCCATCACTTGCAATAGTCCATTGAACAATAAGATATAAAGGCAAATAGGGTGGTCAAAAGGTACAATGGAAGAAGATGATTATTTTCATTAAATACTGTTCTATTATCCGTCGACTTAATTGCATTATATATGTCGACATACGCGTAAGTCGAAAGACATTGAGACATAGAGGGAGAAAAGAAAGGGAAGCGAGAGAATGTTTCTATTACTCTTAGACGATCCGGTAGATGGGGGAGAGAAAACTGTATCATTCCAATAATGTGGTTTACTCTTGCTTAAAGTCCACAATTCTACACTTACTTTCTTGCCTCAATAGAGACAACTCTTTTATACTCTACTGATGCTAATTTGGCCGTTGAAAAATCCTCTTCCACCAAAAAAACCATAGCATGATTCCAATCGGGAAACAATAAGGGAATCACTTTGTCGACAAATTAATTATCATAATCTATCAAGACGATAGTCGTCTTGCTGTTGTCGACAAGGCCTAGTGATTATCGATGATCGTTAAATTCTTGTTCAAAATGGTCAACGAATTGATAAATACCAACAATTAAATAGACTGTAGTACTAGGTAAGATGCAGATAGTAGATGCATTTTACAATAATCAACCAAGCCATTGCTTACGGTGAAATGAGATGATGAAAGGGAAAAAATTGATTTAACCTATACTAACTTACACGTATGAAGGCATTCAACCACAGTCGTTGCATTGACTAAATAACCATCACAAAGCGAACATGTTAAACATGGATTCAATTCTTTGAGTGCTAATGTTCTTTTCATTTTCTGCCCTTGTTCGCTGACGACTATCCATATCAACGTAGCCACGAAAAAAGAAGAAATAACAGATTAATTCAAGTCATAGCAACACGAATAAGAAGTAAAAGTGATAGAAATCAATCAAAAGGAGAAGTAGAAGCAATAGTAATCAATGGAAACTGGAAATAGCTCAGCACTTCAAATCTTGGCAACATGAAGAATGGGGAGAAGTAATAAAAATAATAATCCGACATTTAAAGGAATAGCAACATGACCAAGAAGTAAAAAGTTGAACCGATGTAAATCAAACATGATCAGAAAGAACATTTTAATAAAAGTTATAACGAAATGACCGAGTCAAAGATCGAAAGTACAAGCAATATCAGTCAATAACGACCAGAAATCAAGAAGAAAGTCTACAATTAGAAGCAATGTAAATTAATGACGACATGACTTGGAAAAGGTGTTATCAAGGAAGTTGAATAACTTGAAATGCATCATGAGTTGAAAACGCTAATTTGACAGTCAATATTTTAATATCAATAAAAATAAGCTTTGGGCTCAAATGACCACTTTAAATCGATTTCCATTTTCACGTCAAAGTAAAAAATAAGACAAAAAATTAGAATGGAAGAGAGAAAGGTTAAACTCAAAAAAATAAATAGACAATTGCAATTATTGACAGGGAAAGAAAGTAACATGATGACAATGTCATAAGATGCTCATGGGGTAAAAATGAACTCGTTATTGGGCGTTCAACTGCATTTTTTACATCTTGATGTTGATCAAATTTTCTCAGGAAATATCAAATGATCATCTTCTAATGTATCACTATCCCAACCGTTTTGCTACTTTATACTGACATACAACGAGGCAAGGAGATTGATAAATGAATTAACAATATATTTTTTTGGATTGTATTCTATCCCATTTTCCTTATATCATCATCGTCATCATTGCAAATCATCAAGATAGTTCCGTCCCTATCGATATTGACATTCGCTATCGATAGAACTCTACTTGCTCCTATAGCTGCACTTTCTCATCATCATCATTCGATTGCATACGAGCAAAAGTAGAGTTCAGTATGGTTCATTTTAGCCAAATTAAACATGATAAGAATGATTAACAGTCGATGGATAGTAAAAACAAAAGCGATAATTGTCATGAAAAGGAAAGCATTTACCTATCAAACTGATTTGGTCCAATCTTTACTAGCGATAGCTTATAAAATACTCAACGGTCATGATGAGATAGTAGAAATTGGATTGACTTGGTGTATTTTGTTGGTAATGTTGTTTTATCACTGGCTTTTATACATTGATGGATAGGATTAGAATAAGGAAGATGGATTAAAATAGGCAACGAAAGGGGAATATAATACATCTCTATATTGAAACTCTATCTGTAGTTCTATCATCTATTTTAATTCATCGTTTGTTGGAGCTGATTATTCCCGTTCATCAGAGGATTAATTAATGGAGAATCATCACGACAAAGTTGGAAAGCAGATTGTTTAAATTGCCCAAAATTGATAATCATCCTGGCATACATAAATTCAAGTTAGAACTACATTGGCAATTTAGCAATTGAAAGGTAAAATAGTGTTCAATCAATCTTCTATCAAGAAGGATGTGATATAGACTTGGAAGAGTAACATAATAGCGTTAAATTAGTTAAGACCACTGGTTATGATCGTTATTCAAATCATTTTGCAAATTTTGATCTAATAGGAGACTTTGACACGTTTAGTCATAACACTCGGCAAACAACAAACTTACAAACAATGCCTACTCATAATCAATGCGCTTCTATACCAAAGGTAATTGTTCACTAAATAGTGAATTAAGGAATATTGGATTCTTCTATTCCTATTTGCACTATCAGTCAATGATAATTACATCTATCAAGTCGATGAATAAATGGAATTGAAGATGGAGCTACATTTTTGCATAAAATAGCAACAATTGGATGCATGAACTTCAAGGCATGATCGTGTCAGGATGATAGTATAATATCTGTGGTTTTATTTTCCATCATCGTTGGGGAGAAAAAAGTAAACTTTGACTGATTCTATGGCAGACACGATACTATCTTAGAGAATGTCTCTCGATATGGTGAAAAAATGATAGAATGGCTATCGAATCGATTTCAATCCCATCATAACTTGAATAGAGTAAAATAATACATGTGAATGAATAGCATGATTAAAATTTGATTACATCCAAATGCAACTTTTTTCTTCTTATGTGATCTTTGAACAGCTCCTTTTTTGCTCTTCAATCGGTCCTCCACTATTTTATACAATAAAAAATCAACCCAACTAGATGATACAATAGTTGAGATACTTCGAGTTGATCAAGCAGTGTGATTGATTATTTTCCCCACTTGGCAAATGATAATCTAATATTGGCTGTATGTCCAAAAAAATCAGCCTTACCTTACATTTAATAGTAGAGTGATGATGAGTAATTAATTAGTCAATAGGGCAAACTTTTTTTCTCTCTTAACAGAATTAAGCAATGGTTTAAAAATTAACTTTAGCAACAATACCCATAGATAAAATAGACAAGATTATGTAAATTGCTATTTGACAGAGCTATCCAAGTGTATTTTAGTCAATGTTGACGACTGGATGGAGGATAATTTTTCAAGAATAACGATGGCGATTACCCACAGTCAACAATAGAAGAAACGAAATGGCGCTAGGTAAACTATTCAATACGACATCCCAAAATCAACTACAACTAGGAATCTAGGATATAAATCATTTCCATGATGGTGATATTGACGTTGACCGATTAAGTTATGACAACAACTTGGATAATAACCTTGAGTCTTGAAATAAACGAGTAATGGATGTTGTTGTTGAAGGGGTTAAGCAATCTTGACGAAAGGAGAAAAAAAATGCTTGACTTGACATACAATAAAAGAGGAAGATGCAGTAATCAGGCAAATCAATTCTTGAAAATTCAATAGTTTAGTCAATTTACAACTGTCTCACGTCACCAATCAGTCGGAATGGTATACCACCAACTGTGAGATCCCCTACGAAGATCAACAAGGCGAGACATTCTAGGAATGAAATGCAAGTCGACTTGCATCGTCAGGATATTAGATCGTTCAATTAGTCATCTTGTTCACTTTCATGTCTACCTATCGATGGCCATTGAAATTGCCTTGGATGGAATAGATTGGAAATGAATGACGATCGTTTACTCATGCAAGAATTACAAACGGATAACGACCATTGATGTCGGCAATACAGTAGATAGATTCCTCTTTAAGTTGTTGTTAAAAGATGGATAGGTAGGTGAAGTTAGAAAGGATCAAGATTAATTTGATCTTGATGATAGCAAGTAAGCGATTTCGAGAAGTAGTGGTTGAAGAAATGGAATTTGCATGTTCAAGATTAATAGATTCATGAATAATAAACATGTCATAAAAGAGAAGAGTTAACTTAACTGTTCAAAGAAATCAAGTTCAAGTTGATATCAATGTAAGGGAAGAAAAAAAGGGAATACGAATCCTATTTCAACTCTAATCGATTATTGTGCCATCGCTTTAAAACAATATTGTAATTAGCCTGAAATGAAGACAACATTGAACTTGATCATCCCTCACTAACAATGATTTTCCTTTATGCTAATACTCTCACTCTTTAACTATCATAGCAAGAATTGATCGCTACTATCCAAGTAGATATTTCCATCATGGAATCCACATCATTTCCATGAAATAAATTAACTTCATTTTGTTTTCATCCACTTTTTCCTAACAACTAGATTACGATAATACTAAAGAGATTTTGATGGATAAGAGGACAATACCAAAAAATGGATGGTTTTGTAGAAATGGCATTTTAAAAGCAAAGATCATTTTCCTCTATCCCAATTCATATTAGTAATGGAAATAGAAGGTGATGAGATCATTTCCTTTGACTATCAGTGAAAAAGTCGATGAAGTAGATCGATTGAAAAGGAGCGATCGAACGATGATTGATCACGTTGAAATCGCCGGAGTTGATGAAAGAAAAAACAGCCTGAAGTTCATTTTTGTTGTTTATAATAATTGAATGAAGGAGAAAAAAAGAGTCCATTGCCGTAGACAAGGTCATAACATTTCAATCACAAGTGTTTAATAGTAAAAAGAAACGGATAGCAAGAAAGAAAACGTGACTCTACTTCAAGCAAAGACGAGAGAGAGAGAGGATGGGAAGAAAAACAGCCGGAATAATGTACAAAAAGATCAATCGATTGACAACTCGTGTTTGGAAAAAAGTTCATGAAAAATCTTGAAATGAATGTCAAGTCAAGTTTACGCAGTTGACGATTATTACCGTATTCGATTCGATAGGAAAGATGACTTGAAGAATGAAATATTCCATCATCATCGTCCTATTGACTACTGTTATTAAAATTGGATCATCATGCTAACTAGCACAGTCATGATTGTCCTTTTTCAACTTTAAAAACGACGAAAGGATAGGAAGAGAACAATTTTGGCAAAGAAAAAAAGAGAAGGCAAGAAGAAAGACAGGAGATAATCGCTTTCCTCTCTGTCTCAACAACGTTATCTATCATCGATGTTAATTTTATCTAATCCAATTCAATGCTATCAATTTCTATCAACATTGGGTACTTCAACTAAAATCCGTCATATTCCAATTTTTTTTTACCTTGAGTTTGGCTCATGATGAAGTCGATCGCAATCAACGTAAAGTCCGTAGGGCCAAGACAAACTCGACAAGATGTGATGATGGCAAATAATAGATGAGGAGAGAGTGTACAGTGTACACAGTTAAGTCAAGACAAAAGATGATAAGATGCAAAATTTTGAAAAGTGTGAATTATCTAAAAGGTAATGTTATTGAAAGTTGTTTGATAAAGGACGCCAATCAAAGCCGGTCGATCAATCATTATTAACTGAAACCAATCAAGACAAAAGCATTGATTGACAAGTAACTATTATCAAATTACGTGTGTATCAAACAGCATGGCAAATCATTGACGTTTTCATCTTGA